ACACACAGCACACGCACATACACTCACACACACACACACACACACACACACACACACACACACACACACACACACACACACACACACACACACACACACACACACACACACACACACACACACACACACACACACACACACACACACACACGCACACACACACACACACACACACATACATCACACACACACACACACACACACACACACACACACACACACACACGCACACACACACACACACACACACACACACACACACACACACACACACACACACACACACACACATACACACACGCACACACACACACACACACGCACACGCACACGCACACGCACACGCACACACACACGCACATACACTCACACACGCACACGCACATACACTCACATACACACACACACACAAACATATTCAAACGCTCATATGCAAGTCATTAGCTAGTGTCACCGTCAAAAACCATAAGCTCGAACACACCTTGTTTCCCTATGCTAGATTCACCTCTCGGGGTTCTATGAAGGCGTGAGAGAACGGGAGAGAGGTTTGAGAGAGAGAGAGAGAGAGAGGAGAGAGAGAGGAGAGAGAGGGAGAGAGAGGAGAGAGAGGAGAGAGAGAGAGAGAGAGAGAGAGAGAGGAGAGAGAGAGAGAGACAGACAGAGAGAGAGAGAGGAGAGAGAGAGAGAGAGAGAGAGAGAGAGAGAGAGAGAGAAGAGAGAGGAGAGAGAGAGAGAGAGAGAGAGAGAGGAATAGGTATCGACCCCAGAGGAAGGAGTGGTAACGGGATGGAGGCGGGGGGATTAAGGACATTCTCTCTCTCTCTCTCCTCTCTCTCTCTCTCTCTCTCTCTCTCTCTCCTCTCTCTCTCTCTCTCTCTACTCTCTCTCCTCTCTCTCTCTCTCTCTCTCTCTCTCTCCCTCTCTCTTCTCATCTCTCTCTCTCTCTCTCTCTCTCTCTCTCTCTCTCTCTCTCTCTCTCCTCTCTCTCTCTCTCTCTCTCTCTCTCTCGCTCTCTCTTTATCTCTCTCTCTGAATATACAACGTAGGTTTATGTTGATTCCTGAAATTAGTGAGGGGTGATTCTGGGGTCAGTCGATGACTCGACAAAGATTTCTGTAATGTCTGTCTGTACGTGCTAGGCAAGATCAGACCTGGATTTGGAAACGTGATAATTTTCTGACTGTGTGTCTGTCTTTTGCTTTATCTTTCTTTCCCCCCCTTTCTTTCTTTCAATCTGTCTGTTTGTCTCTCTGTCTGTCTGTTTCTCTGTCTGTTTGTCTGTCTATCTGTCTGTCTGTCTGTCTGTCTGTCTGTCTGTCTCTCTCTCTCTCTCTCTCTCTCTCTCTCTCTCTCTCTCTCTCTCTCTCTCTCTCTCTCTCTCTCTCTCTCTCTCTCTCTCTCTCTCTCTCAAAGTTACGAGTCTACAGGTTATGTAAACTCTTGTGTTTGTTTATTAAAATTGTCCACTGAAAAAAAATGTATGCCTAATTGAGCTTCCTGCAAGGCAACGCTCTCGAAATAAACGCGGTTCATATAATTATCTTTTCTTTGTTTGTCATTGTCTTGTTTGTTTTTTCTTTATTATTTATTTCGTCTGTCTGTCTGTTTTTTATGTCGCTCTCTTGGTTTTCACTCTCATAACTATTGCGTATTTTTTTTCGCTTTCTTTCTCTGTATGTCTGTCTCTCGGTCTGTCTCTCTCTGTCTGTCTGCCTATCTCTTAGTCTAATAGTGTCTGTCTGTCTGTCTCTGTATCTCTGTCTTTTTCTCAACTGATTTATTTCTAATGAACCACATTTTTTTCTGAATAAATATGAAATTTCCTTTTAATAAGTATATTTACAGAGAAATGCTTGGCTGATTTCCTGTTTAGTCATGCGGTAAATCTGTTGGCTTAAACCCATACGCATGCGGAATTGAAGATGTATTTTGTTTAGAAAGAATTTCTTATTTCGTGTTAATTTTACTCACCATCTGTAAGTAATTATTCCATGTTATATATCTTTTATATCTGACACGAGACAATTGATTTTTTTTACTTGTGAAATCACCTGTTAATTTTCGCTTGTAGTGTATTTTAATCAATCATTGACAATTTTTTGTTTGTTTATCCTTCAAAAATGAATTCATTTTCATTCAATGTGTATTTATCTTTGTTGGTATATCTATTCAATATATTTGTTAAATTTCATCTAGTTTTCATTATTTAATCATCTGTTGATTCCACAGTTTCTTTGCGTTTTTATGTGATAGCGATATAAACGTACGGTTTGTCAAGAGGCAAGTGTTACATGAAAAACAAAACAAAGGATTAATTAACGGTAAATGTTCAAAACACATCTAAAAGAAACAGATAAATGATTATATAAATTGTCTATAAACGTTTTGCGTGCCCCGTTCTCTTGCAATAATTAACAAGAAAGACTGCATTTTGTTTCTTCTGTTCCCGCTTCCTGTCCATTTTGTGGAAACCCAATGGATTAGTAATAGTTCGTTGAAATAAATCCTGTTTACGTTTTCATGTTAAAGAGGAAAAACGTAATTGAATATCTATTTATGATTATAAAGGGCGTTAACAATTTTGAATAGATTATGAAATTAAGACTTCATTATCCTGACAGATTATATTCGTGTGATATTTTGATGACATTTTTAGGTATATGATTATAAACGGGGATAAATAACTTTTCAATAACAGACTTAATTTTGAGTACATTATCAGTGTCAAAAACATATCATCGCAATAATTTCTAATGATATTACTATTTGAGATCACGAATATCACCGTTACCATCGACTGTTGCTAATATTTTGTTAACCGTTTCACCGTTTTACAATTTTTGGTGATATCCCTGGTTATCGTTATTGTTGGTCTTGAGTCGTTAGTATTAATATAACCACTAGTATCATCACCTTCATTAATACTATAATTATGATATCTCTTAGATAATGTTTAACAAATGTGCTAGACATCAAAGGTCATATAGGACTATAATAAAGTATTTGGTCAAAGTGGTTTAAAGCAGTTCTTGTATTAGAGAAAAATGTCTTAAGATTCCAACGGTCATATGACATTATAAAACAGTATGGTAGGAGTAAGGAGAGAGGGAGTAAATAGGATAGGAAAGGGAATGATAGAAAGAGGAAGTTTTAAGGACAAAGAGTGATTATATCAAATGAAAGGGTATTTATGCGTCTGAGGAAGAACAGATTGTCGTTAAGGTGTTGGGGGTGGGGGTGGGGTGGGGGAGTCCGTGAGAATGTTCGACAGATAAAAAGCAAAGAGTAAATATGAATTCCTTATCACTATTACAATTAGTGTTACAAAAAATGATGCTTTGTCGTAGATTATATTTATAGTTAGCACAGTTTTCACTACCATTTAGTTAAGTTTTAAGGGCGAATTGATTATCAATATGAACGCCATTCAATCACTGGAATATTTTAGTACCAGTGACAATGCATTTAAAATAATTATTACGCTTAGTTATATGTGTCTTTCAACCTCACGTTTCAATTCCATAAATACTCGCCCATATAATCCATCCACCCTCGATGACTGAAAATATATCTCGTTGATACATACATCAATTATACGCACTGCTCGGATATTTCGTCAAACCACGTGACTTATCTTCTTGTTCTCTCGCTGCCGTGTGGATATCTAACCCCCCTCCCCCCCCGTTCCCCCCCAAGCCACACCTGTGCTCCTAATCATCCCTCGGGCTGTTATCTAATCTCCCTTTCCAACCTGTTCTGATAATTCGTATCTGCACGTCCTTTGGCTGACGTTACTTTCTCCCTTCGCTTTGCCCTCTGGCTGTCCTGGCTTTGCTTTTAGGAAGTATAGCCATACACGCGTGCATGCATACTTAAATACATATATACTTACACACACACACGTATGTATGTATGTATGTATGTACATGTATGATTCTCTCTCTCTCTCTCTCTCTCTCTCTCTCTCTCTCTCTCTCTCTCTCTCTCTCTCTATATATATATATATATATATATATATATATATATATATATATATATATGTATATGTATATATATATATATATATATATATATATATATATACATACACACATACACACACATGTACATACATACATATGTGTGTGTGTATCTCACACCCACACCCACACCCACACCCACACCCACACCCACCCACCCACCGATCCACACCCACACCCACACCCACACACACACACACACACACACACACACACACACACACACACACACACACACACACACACACACACACACACACACACACACACACTCTCTCTCTCTCTCTCTCACTCTCTATTTCTCTCTCCAGACACATACAATCTATCCCTGGGACATATGTGCATGGCCCAAAATTATATATAAAAAAAACACTATTTGACCTCCAAAAATTTTCCTGATATATTTGTAAACCCAAATAGGAGAAATGACAAACCACAGAACCTAAATAAAATTAGTTGAGCAACATTTCTCAGAATAGTGGAATGAAAATAAATTATTTTATTGTGAATGATGAAAACAAAAAAATATGGAAATAGTTCTGTTCTTGATAATAAAAAACTAATGCAAACCGATGTCATTAACCGAGTAATAGGATAATAATATCAGTTTGATAAGTATGATATATTGTTTTTTATTCCTTTTACTTTCTAATACTTATCCAATTACCATAAATAGAATTTATAATTTGCCTTAAATGCTTCCTTGTCAGACTAATCGAGTGAGAGTGAGTGAGTGAGTGTGTGTGTGTGTGTGTGTGTGTGTGTGTGTGTGTGTGTGTGTGTGTGTGTGTGTGTGTGTGTGTGTGTGTGTGTGTGTGTGTGTGTGTGTGTGTGTGAGTGTGAGTGAGAGTGAGAGTGAGAGTGAGAGTGAGTGTGAGTGAGAGAGTGAGTGTGAGTGAGAGTGAGTGTGAGTGAGTGAGTGAGTGAGAGAGAGAGAGAGAGAGAGAGAGAGAGAGAGAGAGAGAGAGAGAGAGAGAGAGAGAGAGAGAGAGAGAGAGAGAGAGTGAGAGAGAGAGTGAGAGTGAGAGTGAGAGTGAGAGTGAGTGTGAGTGTGTATGTGTGTGTGTGTGTGTCTTGACATACTTATATGCAAATATGTACTTATAATGTATGTTGTTATAAACCATTAAACAAGTTTCATGTACTGCTTTCACAACCATAACAAATTTTCTTAACCCATATTCATTGCCTTACATAATTATATATTTTGACCAGTAAGACTAAATTTCTTAGTATTTACAGAATTCAATAAAAACATCAGCAGAATCTACTGACTGAGACAAAACACAGCCACAATGATAAAGGAGAGAAAAACTCATTTGGTTCATCACTCTCCTTATTACTGTGCTGTGCTTCAATTCACCTTTGTATGTGATACTATATTTGTATTCTCACTTAATAAGAATAAATTAATGTATGATTAAACATGACAAATAACATTTTAATCTTGTTTAATTGGGGATACCAGTGCCAATTTCCCATACTATCTCCATACAAAATGAGCACCTGTTTATCTGACTAGCATTTTTACATATCTTTTTGCCTTCTTACTTTCCTCTCTTCTGGCACATATCGAAAATTGTCATCATATAAACAGCAATACATAGACTAAGTATTTACAAGTCTCAATCCTCCATGATTTACAAAATCTAACATAGCATTCGGAATAGACAAAATCTGTACATCATAAAAGTGTGGAGATTCACTAGTTACTCCTTATAAGTTTAACTTGGAACATATATATATATGAAAATTAGAAAGCAAAATACTCTTTCTTCTGTTATGTAAAAGAGCTTCACAACCACATGTTAATCACAAACATCAAAAATATAGTTAAAAAATCTGTTTCTTAAAACACAGACTATACTGTAATATCACTCTGCAAAAGAGAGAGACAACATCAAGGTGTTGAGTAATTACAAACACATTTTTTAATAAAAGAACACACACACACACACACACACACACACACACACACACACACACACACACACACACACACACACACACACACACACACACACACACACACACACACACACACACACACAAAAACCCTGGAAACTGCAACTGGAAAGACTCTTCACTTGCAAATACCAAGGAATGATTGTATATTATCCAGTAACCATGAGAATATTTTTTACTTCATTTTTCTTTCTATGAGAATAATATAATAATTTGGAAAACTTACTTCCCTAATGATTTTACAAATGACAACAATATACATAAGGAGAAATCACATGAAGATAAAACATTATCAAAGATCTTTTAAGTAACAATTGGTACTGTAGTATTTAAAAGGAGTAATACTAAATTTGACCCATTCTCCACTACAGTTTTTTGTCAATTTTGGTTACACACAAATAGCTTTACAAACACTTCATCACAATGAAGTCAATTAATAGGCCTACCCTGACCTTATATGTTCACCACATTCCAATAATTTTTAAGGAAAAGTTTGATTTCTAATAGCAAATCATTGTTATTATTACTTTTAGAACCTTCTTGAATATACCAATACTGCTCAAATATCATAATTTTTCCTTCTAAAAATTCAAGGAAGGTGAGATCAAATACTCTTAATAACTAATTCCTTTGGGGTTATGCACTTGCAAAGCCATCTACATGTAAACAAAATTAATGAAATTAGCAGGAAGGATATGTCTACATGCCCACCTGACATTAATGGTTTAACTAAGAACTAATTTCTAGACTAAAATTGGTAGATATTATCTAGATAAATGATACTAAATAATGATGAACTAATCTACTTGTCTCTTTAAATATTTACACTAATATTCATGTAAATACTACAGACAAACTTGGTCCACATTATTGACTAATTACAAACATTGCTTCTGAATCATGAGTGAAGATCATGATTGAAATAATACTATACAATATACACATACACATACAAGGAACAATTACCAATTAAAAGAAACATTTATATTGCAGCTACACTTGGTTCCTTAGCCTTACCAAATCTATATGAAGAAAATTGAAATATATTATATCTATATACCTAATATGTAAATACAAAGAAGACAAAAATACATCAGGAAAATGTAAAACTTGAGCATAAAAACTGTGCTCATAACACACACAAAACCTATATCTATTTGATTTGAAATAAATTTCCACAAACTGCAACCTAATGTGGGATGATTATTTTTTAGTTTACAACACCATAGAAAAATTCTACCTTTGAACATGTACGGTATAAAACTGTGGAAAACATTAGGTTATTGGGATTCCAACCACTTCCCTATGATTATCACAAATATGTAAAACTACAAAATAAATTAAGTACTTTAGACTCCACTGAGGTCCTTTATGCCTATTAATTTCATAAAGTCTTTCATTTAACACTGATGACCTAAGTAAAAAAAAACATTCATACCAGCACAACATTAAAAATCTTTTAATCAATGAGGGTACAGTCTTACTCATAGAGTTAAAATCTTTGGCACTTTTAATACAGACTAAATTCTGACATCAACAAACAAAAACAAACAAATAAAAAACATCACACATCTGAAACCACTTTGGAAACTGCAACTTTTCAGTCTGCTGAGCTTCGCCTGTATCCATTGGGCCTCCTTGAATGCCCAACGGTTGACTGATGTTTGACGGCAGCACGGATGAAAGGAAGCGCAGCCACCACGAGGATGAGTAGAGCCAAGCCTGGGCGATAGATGCACCAAGCCCCTCCGATGATCACGAGGGAGGTGGACATACTCAGAGTCAGGTTGGCAGATCCCAGACCCAGTGCTACCACGTCTCTCAGAAGAGGCGAGCATATTACTGTAAAGAAAATGGTTATCATGAGTGAATAAATAAGATGCTTTGTTCTTATTCTTAAAAATTATCAGGAATATAAGACAATCTTGGATTAGTTTCCCTTTCTGATAAAGACCAGAAAAGTTACAAATATATCTTGAAACAAAAATTCACATCACAAAAACACACACCAAAAAGGAAAAAAAATAATCAAACAACAAAACTGCTGCCTACACAAACTCACTAAGAGAATGGACAATATTTGAGACGCAGGTCAGTCCGATGAACATCAAGAACCACCCAGCCAACCGCAAATTCCAAGTCAGGAAGCGGTTCTGGGCATGCTCAGAGGAGAACATCTCCTCCACGGTGTGTTTCCCTGTGCGAACAATCAGTAGCTCATTCCCATTGCTTGTGAGGTAAGGATGGAGAGTCTCACCTATCTGCTGGCCCACAACACTCACCTGTTGAATAAGGGAGTTCATAATCAATGAGTAAGGGACATCAATAATCTATTTATCGCATTTTACTAAATGTGTAATTATTTTAGGTTTTATTAATTTGTGTAATTTTTGCCTGTCTCAAACAGTTGGAGATTGCTTTATTTCATATATTTGACATTTTGTCAAAAATGTATGCAGCAATCAAGCATAAAAATGTAACCTTCAACATTTTACTGTTTCCCTAAAGTTAACATTTCTACAAAATTACAACAGATTTAAAGGTTTTCATTTCAGTAATTATAGTAGTCTTTACTAAGTAAACAAATTCACTAATTACAATTAACAAATATCATCATGAATTTACTACAAAGTTACACATTTTATATCAAAGTTCTTTCTACAATGATAATTTACAATAATGTAAACAATATGTACAAAAATTTTATCAACCTACATTGCAACAATTCCTTTCAATCCGATCTTAATTCCAAGATGATATAGAAACAGTGTAAATAGCAATGCTCTAAATGAGAATAACAAAACAAATTTGCTGCTTACCATTTCACCAGCCCGACAAGCATAGTAAAACTGGACCCTTAAATCTCCAATGTCAGGGTTAAATATGTCTCGGGTGATATAGTACATTCCTCCATGCAGTTTGATATCGTCTCCTTCAGGCTGTTCATCACCAGAGAAAGGTATGAACTCTGTAAACTTATCCTTGCCTGCAGGACTCAGGTGGTAAATACCAACTTTGGCTGTCTCTGCAACTTGCACCACAGCTGGTACTGGGATCGACCTAGAAGAATGATAGTGTTTAAGAACAATAAGAGAATATTAATTTTAGTTTTGAGTTTTTATTTCTTAGTCTACTGGATCAGGTTGATGTACTGTCATGCCATGAAAATATCTGGGTGAGAGCCAGGTGAAAGCAATATGCTGTCATAGAAATATTTGGCTAAGGACCAGGTTAACATGAATATGCCAGCAAGAAAAATTTGGCTAAAGGCCAGGGTGATTTTTGGTCACGTGTGGGGTACAAGGCAACTGGATCCAGTTAGTTAATATTTATTTCTAATTGATTAAATCTAGCATTCAATTCAATTATATGTTCTGTGATAGATGCTGCTGTGTGAACTGGATATTTATGAACGGTAGAGTTCATAATAGCAATGCTTCGCAATGTCTAATTTTCATGGTTGTAGATATGAAGGTCACATAAGTAAACACAGTTTGTTTTTCCTCAGATAGACCTTATGCATCTATAACTGTATGTAAACACACAAAAAAATATATTTTTTTTCAAAACCCTGTTATCCAAACAAACTTTTTCCATGGTTTTAGACTGAAGATAAGTATCTAATAATAACATTTATATCTATATAAACAAGGAAAACAGTGACGGACAACCAACTAAAGTTAACCTTTAAAGGACCACTAACAATTTCCTGAATGCAAGTGTATGTATATGCAAGAAAGTTAAAATGTGAAAAATACTCTTATTACAATATAATCCCAAATCACAGGTGCTGTTAACTCCTCTTTACAAACAGGGAGTTAAAAAGTTTCTGCTTCCACACTCACCTCCCAGACCACCTTCAAACAAATCTGATTACTATAAACCATGTACCACAGATATTATAACTGATTGTTCTGTAACATCAGCTAGAATACATATATATAAAAGTATGAAACATATAACAACTAAGAACCAAGTATGGTTATGCATATAAAAAAAATTATATCTCAGTATTA